CACCCCTTCTCAGACATAAACAATCACACACTTAAATGTATCAGGCCGAGACAGACACGCATGCAAACAATACTCGCTGCATGCCTCAGTTCCACAAATCATCTGAAAAGAGGGGAAACAGCCGCTCCTCCACGCTGTGACATTTACAGAAGCACTGACATGATTAATAGGAAGCATCCTGGCTTAAGCAATATGAATAAATCAATACATCCCATTTACAAACTGAAAGAAAAAGTCTGGAAGAGGAAAGTGACAAGGGACCACCAAATTGGGTGTGAAAGAAAGATTTGTCGGGGCGTTGGATGTAAAGATGACGGCTTTGACATTGTTAGCTTAATTTCTAAACTCAGGAGCCAACGCTGTCTTTGAAGGGAGTTACTCCAATCAGTTAATTAAGCTGATGATGCGGAACGTTTCAATGCCTAGGCACTGGACGGGAACAAAAGGCAATGGGATAATTAAAACTGTTTGCCATTAATAAAAGGCATTAGCCAGTCTCCCCTGGTGTGCATTCAGACACCATTCTGCCTGCTAAGTGAGCCGCGCCCGTCTGAAATGTGAATGGAGACCCTGCAGTATAAAACTGCAGCATTGATAAAGCTACTGATGGGGGAACTTCAAAAGCCATCCCCAACCAGAGCCCTTTGACCCCGCCTCGCCCACTCCTATTCATGTCTCCAGTCTCCCCTGCTCAGACTCTCACCCTAAACTGGTTGGAAGTGGGGGGCAGGAGGGCATAATTACCCCCTCCAGGGTGACTTTAATACCTCTTTTTGTGTTTTTAATTGCGCCCCCCCTTCAACCGTCTTTTGATGAACACATCGCAACCATACCACGACCAGTTGGTAATCGAGGTGTAAGCAGATAGTTTGCTGGGGGGATGATAGCTCTGTCATGGATAACGCATACAAACCTCGCTTGTTTGACTGTGTTATCGATTTAGCTGCAATTCAAAGTAACAGCAGGGGGGGAAAAAAAAACATTTTAGCGCCGATCTGGTAAACAGAGTGCGGCAGGCAGGCGGGAGATAAGCGCTGAGCTTTTTGGACCGTGGCAAAATGATAATTATTGTTCTCCCTCTCCACAAGTTGGCTGTCGCACACTGTTATCAGCACAGTTTGCTGGAAGTTTCAGAACTGTACGAAAGAAGCCTTGTATTCAAATGGTGGTTTATCTGGCCATCAGCAGCAAGGGAATGCATGCAGTCAGGCGGAGATTGGTAAACTGATTCAGGGGGACGGGGGAGTCGGGGCCTAGAGCTTGGAGCCATAACGTCTATCCTGTTACCAGGGGGTAACAGGACGACCTATGGCAACAAACAACCTCGCTGACTAATGAGCGACTGGTGCCTGTGCATGGGTCTGAGCACTTTGATCGTTAGTCACACATATGGAGCCTGTCACTAAAACCTCACCAAATGCTACTTGTTACATCCAAAGGAGTTTATGAGAAATGGCAGAATTCACAGAGAAATATATTCTTCAGCTTAGCGGCCCCGAAGGCTTTTGAGAAGTCATAACATGTAAGATTTATGGAGAAGATAGCTAGCTCTCATTTTTTCTCTTCCAAGCTCTTGAAAGCTTGACCCTGCATTCATTCACCAGCCACTTTAATAGGTGGTAGTTGAAGCTAACTCACTGAACTTTAGACTGAGCTTCGGGAAGAGGAAGGAAGGGGATTAAAGTGACTTTGAATGGGTTGTTGATGCAAGATGAGCTGGTCTGAGTGTTTCGGTGACTGTAATGTTCCGATTTACAAAGAATAGTTCAAAAGAGAGTATGTCTAGTGAGATGTAGTTTTGTGGAGAAAATGGTTGATCTCAGGAGTCAGAGGAGATAAGACGATAGAAAAGCAGCAGTAGCTCAAATAGCCACTTATGCACAATATCATCTCTGAATGCACAAGTTGGATCTTGAAGGAAGAATTTGCCTTGTCTGATAAATCATCCTATATTGGATTGACAACTCAGGCTTCTGGTGATGTAAAGATGGAGGATGTTTTAACTACAACTGAACTGCATTCACTGGTGTATTTCAATAAATTAGAATATAACTGAAAAGTTATTTTTCAGTAACTCAATTCACTAAGCAAAACATATAATATGGTTTGCTTACAAAAATAAGGATGTTTCGAGACTGCTTATGATTTTCTGCTTAAACGTAATTAAAACCACATTTAATTCTTTAAAGTGAGAATGCTAGATCAAATAAATGAGACGTTTTGAATACAAATCTATGTGATTAATCTGTTGTAATTTTCAAAAGGTACTTTTAATCTGACAGAATGCATAGTCTGATTTACTAAGATACACCTGTAAACACCACCTTTTACCTCAGGATGACCTCAGTGTTTCTGTTTTCTGATGACTACTTTGCAGGATAGCACGCTATGTCAGAAAGTTTAAATAATCTCAAAGTGGTTTCCTGAGTTAACGGTGCTCCAGTTTCCTCAACAGTTGCCTAATCTCAGTGCACCAGGAATCCTCTGGGATGAGGTGAAACGGGAGATTTGCATCAGATACGTGCAGCCAAAACAATCTGCAGGAATTGCTTGATGCTGCCACCTTAATATGAAACAAAACATTTCAGGAATGTTTCAGACACCTTGTTGTATCTACGCCTTAAACCAGAAGGGGTTAAATTATTGCTAGAAAGCTGAACCTAAAGAAGCGGATTATGATTCGCAGATATATTGATGCAACAGTTGGTTGTCTGTTTTTTCAGCTTTCGAAAACCAAACCCAAACCCAACTCATCGCAAAAACAACAGAACTCTATACTGTGCTTGAAAGCTGTTAAAATATTTAGGGCTGTCAAATCTCATCCCTCCTTCGGGATTCCCTTGATACCTCAGAACAGTAAGAGACGGTAAACTGATCCAAATTTCATGGGGGCTGGGGTGGTAATCTACCAGGGGAGGAAAAGTAGCTCTGTGGGGTTTGGTGGGTGTAAATAGTAGGTAGCTACAGCTTGAGGTTGTTGATAGATGGGAATTAGTGTAAAGTCTGTGCGACAGTGTGTTACGAGCGGCCAGCTACTGCTCCTGCCTGGTGATAAATGACTTCAACAGAGAACAGAGCGCTTTAGCTGTGAGCCACCCTTGGAGCGCTCACTCCGTCAGGAGACAAAAGTGAAATACCTTTGGTGGCAATTCCCTGGAGATAGACTCATATCTACAAAGGATGAACTCAGGAGGGAGAATCATAGATTGCTCAGATGTATTGGAGTCAAACTCTTGTACTCAGCTTAACTTTTCTGTGTTTTTTCCAGAGTGCATCAGGCTAAAATCCATCTTTTTCTGCAAGGAAAAAAAAGGGGTTTTGATGAAAACTATCGTAAAGAGGGTGGAGGACTGAAGGGAGGGATTCATGGAGCAAAGAGAGACAGTCTGACTGTCTCTGTGTTGGTAATGAGAGGGAATGTGATGGAAGACAGTAAAAGCCTATCGCCATGTTGCATGTTTGTTCAACTTGCCTAATGAATGGGTTAAAACATATGTTTCTATGCCCCATATAGCTTAGTGTGACTCAGTTGTGTTCTGTAGGTTATCTGATTATATCATATCCTATTTAAAGAGGGGAAAGTACCAAGCTTTAATGCCTTAGATGCCCTTTGAGGATTCTTAATTTTGTGTTGCATAGTCATCAGCAGGATTGCCGAGAATGTGCCACAAAATTTGTGATGAACAGCATGATCTAACTCTTGTCTCGATTACGTTTTCTCTATGCATGTCTCTTAAAATGCGTATTATGACTCAAAACAAAGTTTTAATCGTTAGAATCCTTTTTCATTTTACTGGATTCACTCTCACAAGCATCAACTGCATCACACCCACAACACTGAATGAGAAATATTTAACGTTTTTATTCAAATTTGACAAAGTTTATTAAAAAAAAGAGAATGTTTATTGTGCTTGGGTATTTTAAAATTGTTCTAAAAATCACTCTTCTTAGCTGTGGCATTGACTGACGCTGTGACCATGTTGCAATTTTTATTAAAAATTATGAATGGGAGGCAATTAAATACACTCTAAATATGTGTTGTTGTTTTTTTTTTTGTCTTTTTATAATTTTAGGTTAATTAATTAAGCAGTGGATACTTGGTTTAATTGTAGCTTAAGTTTTATATTACAACTTACACTGCAGCTCTGTCATTCTTTTACATGTTTTAATTTGTTAAATGAACATGCATGCTTATCCCAGCTGTGATCTATTGCCCTGATCCCTGCTGGGATCAGGGCAATAGATTTGCTTTGGCATATTCAACAAATCTGAAATTTTACAATTAACTTTTGTTTAACTTTACTGCTATTGCAGCATTGAGATGCTCATGTCGGCATTGTAATTTTACTGTATAATGAAACAAATAGATGGCAAATTATAGAAAAGGGGAAAAGTTTAAAAAAAAAAACTTTTGAAAGATTAAACAATACATTTCGGCTGCTATTTAGAGAATAAGTGGTTTGAATAAAGTTATTTTTGTCTGTTTGAGGGCATTTTTCCATTATGCATTCTGATGCTCCATCCCTGAGGTGTTTGTGTGTAGCCTTGCTGCTGTCAATACTCATCTTTTGTCTTGACTGGCTAACTGACTGCTAATGTTTCTTTGTAAACATCATTCAATTCCTGGGGGACGCGGGATCGATGCGCACTCTGTGCCAGCTCTTAGCCCAGCAGAGCTCAGCAGCTACCTCACGTTCATCCATATTTATGCGCAGGGTCTCAGCAGATTGCTGTTTCTCCCTGTTTTCCCTTTTAATTCCACCTGAACATACTCATCTTTTCGGCACAACATCCCCTCTTTGTCCCACTCTCCGTCTCTCATTTGTAGGCTGCTCAGTCTTTCCTCTGATTTCCCTGTCGTACATTTGACGTTGAGCCGATCAATATATAATTACAGGTTCTGAGGCTTACATTTATCACCCCTCCAGAGCTATAACTACGGTTATCAGTCTCCTGCCACGGGCGTAACCTTCCTCACCCTTCCTCCCCCCCCTCTGCAGGTTTCAACGGGACGACTATGCCGTGGAGGTGAAGCTCAATGACTACCTGGACATTGTTTGCCCTCACTACCCTCTGGGCGAGGTGCCGCAGGTGGACGCCGAGCGGTATGTGCTGTACATGGTGGAGCGTGAAGATTACGAGTCCTGCAAGCCCCAGTCCTACGACCAGATGCGCTGGGAGTGCAGCCATCCATTTGCCCCTCACGCTCCAGAGAAGTTCTCCGAAAAGTTCCAGCGTTTTACTCCATTCACCTTTGGGAAGGAGTTCCGCCAGGGAGAAAGCTACTATTATATCTGTAAGTGCTGTTTTGCGTTTGTCTTGTTTTGTGCAGAAATAAGTTTTTGACTTTAGGCATGAGTTACGGGTCTTTAATCTACAGCAACAATGTAGTGGAAATGTTGGATTTTTTTTGAGTCCCCTTAATGCCATGTCATTTGGCATGTTAGGTCTAAACACAAAGCTTCAGAAGTTCAAAATGTTGTCAGTTTTTAAGGACTTGATCATAAAATGTTGGGTTTTTTTCCCCCCATGAAACATTTTAAATTCCTGCATTGCTTTTATAAGGTTTGAAAAACCCTGGAATTTGATTTAAACTTTCTATGTGTCTGGATATGTTTGGAAAGTGTTAAAGTAAAAAAAATAAAACTGAGTACATAAAAAACAATCTGAAAAAAAAAACAGATCTTCTCCAGTCCTTGACTTACCGTCTAAAAGTCTGTGATTTGTAAGTCTGATTAGAAAACTACATGTCACAAAATAATTTAAGTCTGCTCTCAGTAAGCCACTGTAAAAACAGATGATAAATTATTGTAAAGTGCTCTAGTTCATATTGTAAATAGTTGTAATGTAAGCCTAAGGAGACATTAAAATCCTTATCTTAAAAGGTTAACACGAACTCTAATCTCAAGGTGGTCCCGAAACAGGGTGAAATTAAAGTTAATGCAATTATTCTCGAGCTGAAATCTTGGTCTGATAAGAAAGCGTGACTACAACAATCTCCGTGCACCAGCTGGAGCGTAGTGTTCAGCTCTTTGAAGCTTATCGTGTGCAGGCTGTTGGCATGGCATGTGCCGTGTTTGTCCTGCTAGACCGTGCACAGAGCTAGTGCAATTTTGTCACCCTTACCATGGTTGTAATTAGAGGAACGGCGGGACGAAACTCACTTTGCCCAGTCGCAGATGGCCTCCCAAGGCTTTGTTGCCAAGAATTTAAACGTGTGTGTGCGTGTTTGCACGCTTGCAAGCATGAAGGTGGATTAAAGGGGAGGATAAGTGCATTAGCCTGGATGTTAATGCCTGTGTCGTTGTTTCCCCATCTTGCCTTCTCTGCAGCCAAACCTTTGCACCACCACGGCAGAGAGTGTCTCAAGCTGCGGGTGGACGTCATTGCAGCTGATGGTGAGTTCACCTACATCTCTGACGAAAGGAGTAGAGCTGGGGACAGACCAAAGCAGGAGATCTAATCGTGTTTCTGTTTCTTACTTAGGCTCCCAGGAGGCCAGAGTCGCCAACAAAGGTACAGGCGGGGGTGGAGTTGGAGCAGGGGGTGGTGTTCACAACCCTTCCAACAGACCTGCAGGTACGCTCACCAGTCCTCTGTGATGCAGTTTTTCAAATTAAAAAATAAAAAATAACATATATATGTCTCAGATTTTTTTTTTTTTTTGCAAATACATTTAGAAAAACTATATCTTCTTACTTCCGCTTCAAAATTATGCACCCCACAATGTTCGTCTGTCACATAAAATCCCAGGAGATTGCATTGAAGTTTTGAGGTTGAAACTTTGGCAAAATGTAACAAAGTACAAGGAGTATGAAAACTTTTCAGAGGCATTGGAATTCAGGCTTAGTTTGAGGAAGATACTGGTGTGTAATCTTAATGTCTTTTCTTTGCTCTCCTTCTTCCAGCAGATGACCCAGTTGCAGTCCTTCCAGATGTCCAAAGTGTCCACTCTGCGGCTGCGTCTACATCACTCTCGGTCGTCTCATTGCTAGTCCCTTTACTACTTTTGTTACACTGAAAAGAAGCGAAAAGACTTACTTTTTTCAGGGACTGGAGTGAAGACAGTCTGTCGGGTTGGAAACCACGGACTTAAAATAAAAATATTACCCAATGCTGGCCGCTGGGAGAGACTTTCAGAACTTGTAAAGTAGAGATGGACCCTCATTGAACATTTAAGACAAAGTTTTTGTGCTTTGTCTTTAGTTTCCAGAAGATCAAAGTATTTTTTTTTTTGAAAGCCAAGCCCTATTTGAGTTGTATTTGTCTGGAGGGCTGTGCAACAAAATGTTTGCAGGACACATGGCTTCTAAAACTATGAAGAAGAAGAAGATCTCAAGATGGATGAAGAACAACCAAGAGCACAAACACTAACTTGACCGTCTAGGATTTGGATATCTGAACTCGAGCCAAAGATCAGCCCTCTTTCTAACTTGTACACTATTCCACCTTTGAATTTTGTGTACTGATTTGTCGTGTTATTGTGACTGAGTGCTGTTGATGTCTCAAGTGATTACTTTTCTCTAAATGTAGCATTCATTCACACGGGAGCTGTTCTCAACACCGCCATCACTTTGTGGACCATGTGCTTACACACTGTAGCACTAACGAACTCGCATGCAGCGGCTTTTAGAAGGCTTCACACACTGGTTACGACGACAAGCTTTTAAAATAAATCACTTTTCAGATCCTTTTCTGTAGAACATGTAACATTTAGCCTGCACAATTCGACTGAAAAACAAAGCAATCGCAGGAATGTTTGAGCATATTCTGAATCAAAGTGCCTTTAATTCAATCATTTCTTTGCTCTCTTCATATGGCCTGTCCAGATTTTCTGTAAAGCTTAGTTATCTACTAATCTAAAGCCACATTATGTTCCAAACACATAAAGGTGTTTGGAACCATTGTGCCACAAAAGCTTAAGTTTAGTATTGTTTTTATTTTTTATTAAAGCACATTTTTTCAAAAACTTCTGGATGTTTTTTGTCACATGTGGAAGCCAACAGGTCTTTCAGTGTTGTTGCATCCTTTCCTGATCAGATTATGTCTGCCTTGTTTTATTCATTTAGGTGAAATTTAATTTTTTTTTGTAATCTTCCTGCATTTAAACACTCACTCAAATGACTAGTGTCTGCTGTCACTGTTGCAGAATGCATATAAAATGCTCTTAATTGATATCTTGTTTTGTAAACCTCTCTGCAAACTATAACTTTATCTAAGGGATGCAAATGTCCTTTAGATATTTGCAGAGATAACTTTATAATGGATAATAAAAATCCATTATTTTTTAAATAAAAGCCAACGTTTTTCTGTTTAGTCTCAAAAATAGACATAGTTTCACTTGAATTGTGCAAGAAAAATGTCAGACTGTGTGTGGAAAAAGTTTTCAATCTCATTGTCATTTCAACAGAGGTGTGTGTAGTCTTTCCAGAAGCCGCTGTAGTTCGAACACTGACACACACCGCCACCTGATGCTGTGTGAACACACACTACATCCTTTTACGTGTACATTCTGTGAAGATAATTTATGAAATTTTTTGCAGCTCAGAAGTTTTACTGTACATACCTTGTGCTCACTAAATGTAATGTTTACTGATGGCGATGAGTGCAGGGGGCGCGGTATTTGTGTGAAAGGAAATGGATATGTGTGTGTGCGTGTTGAACTGAAAATAGGAGAATGTACTAGAGCTGTGGGGAGTTCTGATTTGAAAGAGTGTCGAGACAAAATGTTCTGCAAATAGCAAAAACACTGAGATGATGACGTGTATCGAGGAGAGGCTGGTCTTCTCCGTTAGCTGGGTGAAGCCACTGTAACGGTTAAACTCTCTGACATGAAGGGCTGGTTGGAAATCTTTCTTTGTGTTTAGTTTTTGATCTCTCACATAAAATAAAAAAATAAAAAAAATAGTCACCAGTTCGCAGCAGAACAGGACACAGCATCGAACGGAGTTGCTAAGCTCATCTTCAAATGACCAGAAACGATGAAGCACAACAGTGTATGACTACCATCTTTTCTCTTTTTATTTTTTACCTGAACTCTCGTTGCCTAATTTTGTACATGTGTAAGTAAGAGAATATGTCCATATGTGTATATAAATATAGATTATATAAAAAAAACTGTTTCATAAATGTGAAAAATTTTCATGTGAATAAAAAAAAATGATATTTTTGGAAAATCAGACCAGCTTTCTTGTGTTTACTGTTTCAGAGATATTTTAAATAAATGAATACATTTATAGCTATTATTTTAAAAGTACAAAAACTGTCAAAAAACAAATCCCTAAAATGTTTGATTCTCAGACAGTTACTTAATCCAAGTGGATCTGATTATATTAGAATATTTAATATTTAAATCATGTCACGAAAAAGTAAATTAGCTTACAGTGGCTACCAGCTAATGTAAACCCAAAATTTAGTTTGACATTAGAAAATAACACAGATCGAAAAAGTATTTATAATGTCTGGGTTTCAAACTCGTCATTTTGGGCCACATCAAAAATCTGAATGTCCCTAAAGGGCTGGTTGTGCCAGAATATATTGATAAAACCAATTAAGCTGTTGAAACAGCAATAAATATTTGTTCCTCCAGGATTAAAACAACAGATTTTGAGGTGCCAATTTAGAAATGTTTGTAACACATTTTTAGATTTGCGCTAATCTATAATGGTAAATGTGACTTTGTGTTAATTCCTGAATTGATCAGGAAGTAAGTGACCCCCTAAAGGGTCACTTAAACACTTTTTTTTTTTACCAATTTTGAGAAAACTAGCAGTGAAATCAGAAAAAAATGTGGAGATTTGTAGATTTTGTGTGAATTTTGCAGATTTGTGAAAAACTGGAAGAACTTGATGTAATTTGGAGTCTGGAGGGCCACATAAAAAGCTACAGCGGGCCAGATTTGGCCTTGTGTTTTACACATGTGGTATAATCCATATATATATACAGATAAAAATAGATTTGGGACATTCAAACTGAATAAGTTAAACACGTTTCACAGTCAGAGAAATAAGTGAGGCACAGCTGTGCATGCGTTGAGCAGCTGGGGACAGCATATCAATATAACTGCTGCAAGACAAGCTTTAAAACACTCATGACCGAAAGACCAGAGGGGTCAAAGTGTTGGTGCGATCAATTAATTACAGCAAGGTGCAAAAAGGAGAGCGACCAAGTGTGTGGGAACTGCTCAGACTGAAGTTATATCTTCCATCTGTGCACGAGGACCGGCTGAAATGATGTAATGCGAGCTTTGGCGTTTATCTCAAAGCACAGCCTTCCTATTGCCGAGAACACGGCTTTAGACTCCAAGAGCAACACTTGAAAACACGGGAATAAATCTGAGAAAGCAGTAGTGACACTTCGTTTTCTCCTTGGCTGAGCTCCTCTCGCAGTGTTAGTGGAGCACTCGACCTTTTCCGATAACTTTACAAAACGGCGAGGAGCAAACGGATTACCATGCTTCCGAAGCGTTGGTATAATTGGGCCATGCAGGATTACTGCGCCACGTAGAGCACATATTTATCAGCATCCAGCCATGGCACATCGCCCTTGGTTTGACTCCTTATGGGTCACAGGGTAAATATTCATGACAAAGAAGCAACATTGAAACTTCTCCACTTTGTCCTAAATTAAATAAAAGCCCTGTTTCTTTGGAACTGATGTGATTTTGGGTTAAAAAGCTCTCAGGAAGCCAAACCCATTCTTCCTTCTGATTAGAGCGGAAAGATTTCCAGAGGAGCCAATATCAGAGATAATGGCTCCAACAACCTGAGGTGACAGGAGGCAAATAGGATCAAGTTTGAGGCTGGCTGAGACTAGGAAAGCTACAAAAATGGGATAAAACATGGAGATCCAAGCAGTGTTTACCATGACCTGCACTTACTCTCTACGTCTCTCCTGCTCAAACACTCCAGTTTTGTAATTTATTTATTTGTTTTTTGGTTTTTTATCTGAGCTACATGACAAGTCATTGTTCTCCTCCCATTTCCAGGGGAGTTTTACGGCCATGACAGTAAAACCAGCTGCAGCACCAAAAAAACCCCAAAAAACACTCCGGTGCCACAGTTTAACGACTCCCCCGTGTTTTCAAAGAGGTGCTCATAAATTGTGACAGTCGGACAGGCCCTCTTAACCGACCCCTGGAGGAGGCGCAGTTCAGTGGACGATCATCAGGAGGGAACCGTTCGTTTTATTTACGCATTCTTCAGAATACTGACCTGTGTGAATGTGGACAGCAAGTGTGAAATCTTTTTACACCGCAGTAAATGCTAGGAGGCTGTCAGGCTGAGAACATGAGCAATGTCTTACAGTCATACAAGACGAAACCCTATATCGTTTAAAATGTGGGAGCGTGACTTTTTTCTCTCTCTTTTTTTTTTAAAGGGTTTGGGAATTGTTGATAGAAAGAAAGTTCACTCTTTCCAGCTTTTTTTGTAACTATTTATGGAAATAAGAATGTAGAAAAACAAATACCAAAATATTTGTGGCCCTGTTCATAAACGAAGATGCTATTATAGGAAAACGCTATTATAGAAAAAAATGAAGTAAACTGTATTATATCTAAGTAAAATTTGATTTTACTTTTTTTGTGTGTGTGACTGACTAAAGCAATTGCACCTTGTAGGAGAATCTCTCTATCTTGGACAATGACATGTCAACCTCTTGAGAAATGTCCTTCACGCAGCCAGATGCTCAGAAGGTGTTATATTTTGCATTGGACTGGATCCTGCAATTATCCACCGCCAGTCGTCTGCTGTGGACGTTCAGGACTTTATTTGGTCCTTTTGTTCCCATGAAAAATCTGTTGGTTTGGCTTCTTTAGCTGTACTCCAGTGTAACACTTCACTCATTCTTATTCCCACAGAGCCTAGTGGAGTCTAAAATGCGTTTTGAACATTTTTATTGTTCCTATTCAGTGTATTGAAATGTTGTGATGCAATCTGTAAGCATTCAGTCTGTAGAAAAATGTAGTTGCAATTACAGCTACAGTCTGCAGAGTATTTTATTGTGTTTTTTGTGATAACCCAGCACAAAGTAAAGCATAGTAGAAGAGCCTCTTGTAACTTTAAAGCAAAATCAGCCAACACAAGTGTACGGTTCACCAAACGTTTTATTACAAAAATGATGGTGTCAAAGGGGCTCCATAGGGTGTGGTCACACTGGTAGGTCAGGAATGGGGGATCCACAGGGGTTGGGAATCCAGCCTCAGGAGCGTGGTGTGAATGGACAGTGGGAGCCCTTAGGGGCTCTGGGGACAAACCGATGACAGGGACTAAATCCATCAACCAGAGGCTGAGTTGTTGAAACGATCCGGGGTCATGCACGGGAGGGACTCAGGTAATGGAAATCCAGTAATCAGAAGACTGGAGGCAGGGTCAGAGACAGGCAGGGTTTAGCAACAGGAAGAGGTCAGATCTGTTCCTACAGAAGAAGGACCAGGCAGAAATCTGTAGTCAAAAAACAGGCAGGATCAGAAAAACAGAAAACTCTTTAGAGCATGAAACAAGGCTTGAAAGCTGTGAATGAGGCAACAGACGATTTCACACTAAGCTGGTAACGAATAGCTGTTTAAATAAGGAGCAGCACAGTGCTGTAATGAGTAATCAGTACAGTCAAGGTGGAGCTGAAGGGCTGGAATCATGACGCCTCTATTTGGAACAAGTATGTGGGAGAAGCTGCTCTGGTCAAATGAGGAATGAATGAAAACTACGAGTCCCACTGAAAACAGATTCCTTGTGGTGGAACAAAGTGGTGGTAGCATCATACTTGGGGATGGTGACTGAGCTTGTGGTATTTTACTAAAAAGCAATTAGCGAAAGTTTCAGTTTCTAGATTCTTAAATCTACATTCTTAAATCTAGAAACTGGACGAGGTTGAAAGATTTTCAGATTCTTACTGCTGAAAATATACATACCATGTATCCTTTTTTTTCTTCCATTTTGCAATTATAGACCACTTTGTAGGTCAATGGCATCAGATGAAATAAAATTCGTAAAAGTTGGTGATGAAATGTGAAGAAGTTCCAGTCGTATTAATAACTTTGCAGGTATGGTCTGTCACTGTAACAATTTTTACTTTACTGGACGATAAATTGACCCAGAAATTATTGCCACAATATTATTGTCTTGAGGCCATTTTCAAGTAATATACTGTAATGGTAATGACATTTTCAAAGATCAATAAACTTTAAATTCTAATCAGGATTTAACACAGGAAGTGGAAAACATTTTAAATTCCCAAAGTCAATAAATAACAGAAACAAAAGATAAAATCAATTGTCTCAGCAAAGAAAAACAAGGAATAGCTGATAAAGAACCAGGCTGAAGACTTTTGTCATCCAGTTTTTGCTGAACAGAGAGGAGGAAAAGATAAAAATGTTTAATTATGCAAATTTAAATTGTTGAGCTTGTTTTTATTCATCATGCAATTAATTGCTTTATTCCTTATTGCAACAGGCCAACTTTGTAAGTAACAGAGAGGGTTGAGAAGAAATTAAACATCCTGTAGCAGCAGATAAAGGTTTTTGCCTGAGCGTACAGCCTCAGTGCAACAACTGAGAGAGATAACGTTGACCTGATGTCTCTGTGTATCATTTAGGTTGTAACAGAGCCAGAGTTGTGAGCCACTGGCGTGTGTGAGACTGAACCCAGGGAGGCAGCCATGGAAGTTACGTTTTCCAAAAGCTGCTGGTCCATCGCTGTGCTCAGTCAAACCTCCTATCAGCAGGACGCATGATGACCGGTCCCTGTCCGCCTGCCAAAGGATGGCTGATCTCACAACAGCCAGGATGGACTGACTCAGAGGAGCTCTGACAGTTCACCCAGTGCCTTTGTGGCGCTTTGGAGCGTTTATAAGCAGCCATGCTGGACTGAAAAGAAAACCCCGCATCCTGTAAGCATCACAGCAGCTGCTCCACAATAGCCTGACCCAGAGGTGACTTTTTTCCAGCTTTGTTTGTGTTGTTTTATGTGCTGATGATATTCTGCCGGTTTGGATAAAAAACTGTAAAACTGCCTTTTCTTCCCTTTTTGTCGAAGCGTGTTAAAGCTTCAGATGACGGAAAGATCAGATGAGGCTGCTGGGAAACTGAGAGTACTGGTTTTGCAGAATAAGCTGGAACCTTTGTGCTAGTGAGGGCAAACTTTGGCCCGCTGCCACGGTCGGGGTGTGGTCTCCCCTTCCCGAAAAAAGTCTCGTCACACTTTGTCCCCACGATGAAGGTCATCTGTGCCACTTCGGCTCATGGTTTGGTTTCCTTTCTGTCTTAGTCACTTACGCTGCTTTTCTAAATACTTTTCCCTTGAGCACTCACCTCTCTAAATATCTTTGACATGGCAACATTAAATAAATCAAAATCTCAATCTTTCAGCTCATGGCTCTGATTACGGACTCTTTCTGCCATCCTGTCCGTCTCGAGATGGGCTTGAGGTTTTGCTGTGAAACGTGTGGGTGGGGAAAAGGCGTCTTTTCAGCGGACAAAAACGATAACCCATCATTTTTCAGTCATGTTGAGATGAATTTCCTCCCGGCACTGTCACTGAGTGTCTCTAGGAATGTTTTTTAAGGTCTCAGAGGGGCCATGCAGCGGGCATGAACCGAAGTGCTGCTGCACTCACCATCAAAATCCCCTTTGGGTTGGAGCAGAGGGCAACAACCAGCCTGTGATTGTTTTTTTCTCCTGGCTTTACAGCCTCCAAACTGAATCTAGCTGCAGAGTGATGAACCATTTTATCACCTCCATAAATACATGAACAGGAGGAGTTTCACTTTATCACACAAGCACATTACATCTGACAGATCTCAAATATTTTTGCATCTTTCTTAGCTAAATTTATTTTAGTTTTTCTTCTTTGTAATTTTACGTTTCTTTTACCTGTGTTGACTTAGAACAAATTCTCTTTGAGTACATCTCTACAACCCGTTTTTCTGTCATTTTTTTCTTCTCTCCGGGTGGATAAAAGATCCAAAATATTGTTCTAATGTCAGTGAAGCACTATCTCAAAAATATTTTACTCAAGTAAAAGTAAAAAGTATTTGGTAAAGAATTCAGGCTGACTAAAATATGAATTAAAAAATAATATCCAAATCATAAAGTTGTGGAAGTTTTGGTATTTTAGAGACTAACAGGAAAATAATTTATATAAATAACATAATTACAAAATAACTCAAATGTAAACTTTCAAAATAAAACTTGTGAAACTTTAACATAAACTGTATAGTCGGTGAGTGTCTGACTGGTGAAATTTTGGTTCGAACAAGCTTGTTCTTCATTCAATAAAGTTATTCACAGTGGGTAGAGAATCCACAAATTTTACCCAAGTAAAAGTAGCAATATGTCATAATAAGATTACTCAAGTTAGAGTAAAAATACTGCTAAAAGTAGAGTTTTTTCACTACCCAACTTCTATCTCAGTCCATTTTGATTCACAACTGAAATTGAACTGATGTTCCACAAATTTCTTCTCATGTTCACTCAAATATAAAAGTTTGTCTATTACTGTGTCAGAATACATTTCTATGGAGAAATCAAAATGTCAGCTGCTTTAATGGAAAATTAAACTACAGGTAAAAGGTGTTTCCTCTTTTTCAAATGTTGTGGCTTGTGGGTGAAGGAGTTCACTTCATTATGGCTACAGATCAAACAGACTCAATTTTATGGAAAAAGGCAGCAACATCTGAGGTCATACCTCCATGTGTCTGATTGCATTCGCTTTGACCTGCTATTAAGTAAATGCAATCTGATTTATGTGCTGTGTGTTTCTAGTCATGCAATGAAAGGGAAAAACATCAAACTGTCACTTTTAAGCTGCATGCTCTGTAAAATGTTTAGCCTAAAATAACAAAACATTTTGTTTGTGGAAATAAAATGTGTTTAAGGGCAGGACGAGGACGGAGACAAGTCCTTATATGTGGCTCTAGTGAGAACATATCTGACTAACAAGAGAAAGCTTCAGTACGTTTGCCAGATTCGAAGATTTTCCAGTAAGTAACTGGTTGCCTTTCATCCAGTCTGCTCAAGCAACAGCTTGCACAGATTCATGGGGGGATGAGAGAACGTTACGAGGCTTGATGGGGCTGCAGCCAAACAGCACAACAGGCGGAGCTGGCAATTCCTCTGCATTTGTTCAGAAGTTATTGGATCTTTTGAAGCCGCATAATGATGCCTTTGGACAGGCGAAGCTTTGTTTTTAACGCAGCAGGGACTCAGTAAAACTGAGCAAGGGCAGCCTGTTAGGGCTCACACCAAAGACATGAAACTGCCAACATCGATTACTTCATGAGTCTCATAGTCGGATTCATTCTCATTCCCTAAACATAAAGTGGCTTGCAGAAGGACTGATGCCTATTGAACTACTCCACATTTCGCCACGTTGGAACAAGAAATGTCAACGTACATCGCTGAGAATTTGTGATAAATCGACACAACAACCAGCACAGAATTGTAAAGTGGAGGGCTGTGGAACAAAAAGTGTTCAGAAGGCAGCAAGAGGCAGCGCCCTATACTTCCACAAAACTGAGACTGTAGCCTAAACTACGAAACATGGAGGTGGTAGTGTTACGCTGAGGGGTTACCTTTCTCCAACAGAGACAGGAAAGCTGGTTAAGTTGATGGAAACATGGATGGCGCTAAATACAGAGTAATCATTGAATAACCAAACACAGCCAGGGCTACAATAAAGATATAAAAGACATGCTTCTGTAAATAATTTAGTTAGGAAAACTGAATAAAAACACATCCTGCACCTTTCAGTTTGATCCTTTTATTTCTCTTACTTTCACGCCACTTGGATTTGGTCTTAAACATAAAAAAAACCCTAACTAAACTCACTGAAGTTTGTGGTTGTAACATAAAAAGAGGAAAAGTTTAGGAAGGCTTCATGCTTTGGCAAAACACCAAATTACCAGAACTTGCAAACCCACAAGGGGACACCAACTGAGAAAACAAAGTCCTGTTTAATTAATTCACAGTAACGCCTCAGGACCTCAGGTCAGACACTCAGAGGAATGTGCACTTCTTTACAGGTGAAATCTAAATTTATCTGCTCTGACAAGAATTCACCTTTGAATTGGAGAAATGCAGAACAACTACCAAGTTTCACATTTAAATTGGATGATTTCAGAGCTGACAAAAACAAGAATCCAGGACATTCCTAAAAGATCCTGTGTTTATTTGTAACCCTTGGTTTCCATTGATCAGGTTTTCAATAACATACTGCAAATGTTAGATTATGTATTTAGCATGTGAGCAACACAATCTAACCAAAAATATTGAGGAAAAGCACAATAATACACACAACATTGCAATAGAAACACAAAATTATTGGTCCCTATTCATTAAATCTGTCAAAACTAGTAGTATGCTACTGGCTGAGCAGTTTCTCACTACCCAGCTGCATGTGCTTTAAAAGTTATTTTGAGTTTTTAAAAAAGTCCCATACTTTGACATGGAGATACCACTAAGTTTGTTTGCCTTTAAAACCGGATCAGGATGTTCTTTTTTATGTATTAGTTCTTAAAAAAACTAACAAATGAACGTTTTAATAGGAAATCAGTATCGGCCAGGAAAACCCTAATCAGTGCAACTCTAAAAATTGCAAACAGACCTATTCAAAAGAACCGTAATTGGTTTCTTTATGCCTTATGTCAGGGGTGTCAAACTCCAGTCCTCAAGGGCCGGTGTCCTGCAACTTTAGATGTGCCTCTGCAGCACCACATCTCAATAGAATAATTAGGTGATTAGCAAGGCTCTGGAGAAATTATCTACACAAGGAGGAGGTTTCATTCCAGTGTTTTGTACCTGTGGCACATCTAAAAACTGCAGGACAGTGTCTCTTGAGGACTGGAGTTTGGCACCTGTGCCTTATGTGATGTCATCAGAAGAATGTGGACAGGGTCTCAGGAGAATATACTTTATAGTAATTATGTACAGATTTAAAACAAAGTAGCTATGAAAAGTGACCAGGACATGCTCTTGTTTCGTTGGAAAAACTATATTGAAAGTGAACTCATTTTACAAAATAAGTCTGGCTTGCAGCTTTAACTTCAGTCTATGTCTCACACAGTCAACACAATCTAACTGTCAAGCAGGTAAAACGTGATATTGACCAGAAACACTTGATATCTCATTCAAATTAATGTTCTGGTCGCACCTGCTGACCACAACGAGGCTCCATGATCATCCAAAAAGCAACAGATTTGATAAACTTTGCAAGTTGTCTCTCCATTCAGTCTCAAAAGAGTTCCTTATAATTGTCCTACATCTTTAACCCCTTTCTCCTCAGGTCCTCTTTGGCTTCCTTGATCTGCTCCTGCAGCTCCCTGGCCGCCTCGTCGCAGTCGTTAAAGGTGGCCACCCGGTAGCCCACCGCAGCCAGGGAGTAGCAGCCGAACGAAACCAGCAGGTAGACCGGGATGGGCCAGGCCACCTCCCTGTAGGTCCGAGGAAGGCGCAGTTCCAGCAGGTCGAAGGCGACCAGAGCCCACACAGCGCCCAGTAACGAGACCCCGAGCAGCCACTGCAGGAGTTTAGTCATGATGGATATCAACGAAGAGCCTGACGGGGGAAACGAGCTGTTAGCACGAACGTAGCAACGCATCCACTTGTGGAGATAAAATACGCTTTTAAGACAACAACAAAGACTCCGGACAGTCAAAAGAGACACCACACGAAAAAATGAAAGTAATGACAATAAAGTTGGAGCTTCAATATCACTGTAAGTCATTTATTTCAAAGAAAAAGTCTAGCGTTATCACCTCCAATCAAACGCCACCTCAGCACTGCGCAGAATGATGACGTCGCACGCCGCGACGGCTTATGGGAAATGCAGTGACGAATACTTTGCTCTAAACGGGCCAAAAATAATGATTTTGATCTAAATTATCGCTAAGAATAATGGATATACAAATACATAAACTTTAAATAAAATAAAGCAGTGATAGAAGAAACAGTACGTACATGTTTTGTATCTATTTTAAGAAAAATAGTAATTGTTATGATTTTCAATATAAAGAAAATAAAAGAAGGTTGCAGTTTAAAAAAAAAAATTCAAAATGAATGTAGGCTACAGGTGGTCATTGTATTCATCAGAGAGAGATTAATGTTATTTTTATTTCAAATATAGCATTATAAATTAAAACAATATTGTATAAAATATAAGAATATATCTTAGAATAAATTTTATATATTTACCCATTCATTTCCTTTTTATGACACTCTTTTCATTTTATTATGATATCTTTGTACAGACTAGACCAGATTTAAACTTGTTGCTTGTCGTCTGTATGTACTCCTGAAAAACTCTCGAGATGATTTTTATGTTATTTTAAAAAAATAAAGGAATCTATTTCTTTATATATTGCACGCGTTTATTTATTTACTTTTTTACCCTTTCTTGGTAACATTAATGAGCATCAAAAAGACCTTTGAGAGCAGATGCTATACAGACATTGCTGCTGTGCTAATTTTAACCACTAATGTAATATCAACAGCCGCACCCAGTCAGCTGCGAGAAAGAAGACAGCTTGTTTCCACTGCATCTTTAACAAGGCACCCTACATAAGACCTCTAATTTTTCTCAACGTTACCCTCTTGCTTTACGAAAGCCATTTTCAAAATTAGGTACCATTAGCAAATCATAAAAGCCGTCCATGAAGGCTAATGTCCTTTTCTTTTCTTTTTTTTTTTTCTCCGATAGAAATCCAACAACAACATAATTAGGGGTCTGCGGGAAGCTCTGCTCTTTGATCTGAGTCTCTGCCTGTTCATTCAGGGTGGTAAACTGTCCAGGTGCAGAGGGCACAGATTTCTCCAGGGTGGAATCAGGACTTGGAGGAGATATAAACATCATTCAGTGAGCCGGGCAGAGCGGCAAGCTGAGCAGCCACTGAGAAATAAACATCATTCTTTGGAGAGAAAATGGGGAGTTATTCTTAGGACACGGGTGTTTATGTTTGTCTGCATTAGTGTTAATAGTGTGAGGGACATTCTGAGCGTCTGCCAGAGGGGTAGAGTTTATTTCTTCTGTTTAGTCAGACGTTAGAGGGCACAACAGGAAAACAGCTTGTAGTGCTGCCGAAATCTGGCAGTTCTAAGAAGTTGTGATTCATTTGTGACATGAACTTTACTACAATAACGTAAGAGAGGATCTTTAGTGTTTTTAGAGATCTAATCAGATTTGTAGCAGTGTTTCTAATTCTTGAAAAGTTGAAATGCCTGAATACACATCCAGTTTTTATCTGAGCTATCTATGTCGTGATGCACCCCGTGGAGTAAAGAGATAGATGACTTCACTTCAAATGAGCAGCTTTGAACATGTGCCTCACAACTTTATACAGTCTGGCGTTGGTGACCCAGAGGAAAAAATTAAGCAATGTGTCTATAAGAATGCTGAAACTCAAATGATTTTACTTATTGGAAGGGAACAGAGATAAAAATTTTGTGATTATCAATGTGCACAGCGATGGACTTAAACAGGACAAACTGTTTCAGTTTTTTTATTTCTTTAAAATACGATCTAAAAATCGGCTTGGCAAAGCACCAAACAATCAGTTCTTATGATCAATAAAGTTACCCATCTAAGAATGAATTACATATTTTAATATAAATTGTGTGTAGAGATCTACATGAGTTAACAAGGTTCTTACAAAAGATGTTCAACTGTCAAAACTGTAGGACTTCCTTGCATAATGTGTGTCTGACCACTAACTTAAATAATCCAGGTAATATTTCATAGATTGTGCAATTGCAAACTTATTAAATAGCCGCATCCCTAGATATAGTCTGTGCTTTGTTAGGCTCCAGTGAACCACCTGGATGACGATTTTTCTTATAATGGCCTCACATTGTAAGATACTGATTGCTAATTATTTCATTTAAATGAAATGTAAAACCACTTAAAGAGTTGGGATACGTATTGGATGTTTTTGTTTAGTTATTGCTTTTATTATTTACATTATTGATATCCATGCCCAATTTTTCAGCTGAAGTTGTGGGAAAAAAATGGAGAATTAATGCATTCAACATGTCACACACTTGCTCCATGTAATCATATGGGATATGGCACATATCACACTGTCAAGGTCAGCCTCCTCTTGCTGCCCTGACAAGATAAATTGCATCCAGGTGGGATCACCCGTGACACGCAGGATCATTGCATCCATCACTGTGTGTGCTGGGTCCGGCTCGGGCTGCGCGGACACAAACAGGAGGCTGAGCGTGTGTGACGTTCAGTGGGAACGGCCGAGCTGGCTTTTCTCAATGCGTCTCCCTGCCAGCTCTTGTTCCGTTCCAGTACTCAGGAAACCTGCGCTCTGGCCGAGAAGGCCTGGCAGACACAACACGACAGCCTGTAAGCGGGAGGGGCCCGAAACTGAGAAAATGAGACAGAGAGAGACAATGAGAGACAATGAGAGGGAGGCGTACAGGAGTAAAACAAAACAGGAGGGAAGGAGGGGAAGGAGTTGTAGCATAAAGAGTCCGATGCAGTGGCAGCTGATATTTCTTTTATTATTAAAAAACAGAAAGCAGAAGCAGTAAGGGAGGGAGAGGGGTTCACGGCTGACAGGACAAGAGAAGGAAAGCTGAGAGGAGCAGGAATGAAAAGAAAGGGTGAGTGAGTGTATGGAGGAAAGAGGAGAGGGGAGCAGAGCAGACAGGGGAGGGGGCTCAACATGGGGGGTGAAATCAGGGGATTTGCAGGTGCAGCCTGAACAACAAATGACCTTAATGGTGCATTAAATCCAGCTGTTGCTTATCCAGACTTCAATCCCATCCAACACCTTTAGCACCACAGCAACATGGACACCCCACCTTTGTTGTTCCCACAAGGGAACAAGAAAGCAAGAAAACACTTGGCTAGTGAGAAAACAAAGCAGTTATACAGGTAATTCATGAACCCCAAGAATCCCCCAATAGAGATGAGAATCGCTGCATTTCCAGTTTGCAGGTGTACAAATCTTTGTTTATGCAGCTCTGGAAAAAAGTAAGAGCCCACTGCACTGAACCACCAAATATTGATTTTTGATCTTTTCCTGAGTTAAAACATTGGTATTGTTGTTTCTAAATGAATATGAACTTGTTTTCTTTACAGTATTTGAGGTCTGAAAGCACTGCATGTTTTTTTATTTCTTTTATTTTTTATCTTGACTATTTCTCATTTTCTGTAATTAAATACCAAATGTTTTGCCTGGAATTTCAGAGACATGTAGTCAGTAGTTCATAGAATAAAATAACAATGTTCATTTTACTCAAACATATAGAGTAAAATCTGAGAAACTGATCATTTTGCAGTGGTCTCCTTCCATTGTGCTAATATAAATAACAACAAGACCCTTACACTGAACAGAGGCTAAGTATGCAACATTTTGGGGGAATTGTTGTCTGTGATTTCAGGAAGAGCTGTGGATTCTACATGTCCAAATTACACAACTTTTTTTGAAGTGTTCAATGCTGTGGGAAGCTACACCTTGTTGAAAAAATATGAAAAAAAAACCTTTATCCTCCTAATACTTTCTGTTTTCTTTGGCATTTTTCCCAGTACTCGTATCCGGCTGTTGATCATGTGACATGACTTATAACCACCCTTTTCATGGAAAAGTGTTCTTTTTATGTTTATTATTATCATTACTATTATTTTTATGTTTCCTTTAAGTGAACTTATTTCTGTAATTTCAATTTGCATGATTCAAAATCCAGCTATTGATTCCAAGCAAACAGATTAGAAGGTCAGATAAAACAGGAAAAGTACTGATGGAGGCTTCTGTTGACTTTATCTCTCTAGATTTATCAATATTAGGAAAGAAAGGGTTCTGATAAGAAGGTGGTGCTTCTAAATAGTAGGGACCAAGATGTGGGTAAGTGATAACTGTTTACTATGTGAAATGTATGAAGGAAAAAAAAAAAGAGAGAGCGAACCCTTGTGTTTAGGATAACAATAGAGCTTGGAGTGAAAAACAGGAACCCTCTGTTTCCTGAGCTGGAAACCAAAGCTGTGTGTTGTCATTAGATCTGAGTTAAAGGGATCAAATGTGTTTTTCATTCTTTTAAAGAGACAAGGATCTGTGATGCTCTGAATAAAAATGTCGTCTTAAAATGACACTCTTTGTGTCTTTTTATTGAAATATTTTATTAGATGTTCTTCCAGAAGCGAGAACATGTTTGTGCAGCTGGATCAGCATTGAAAACCCTCTGAAACGTCTCACACAGCTGATACACATCCTCAGCCCGAGATCATTTAGTGACAGCCACAGTCAACATTAAATTGCTGCGATAATAGCTGTGGGACACGTATGCTACTTAGGACCTACTTAATGAAATCCAGGGTTATTCAAAGGTCAGAATGTGATCACGTGTGACCAGCCTGGATCAGCACTTTTGTTCCCCTCCTTATAGAAACACACCTGTTTCATTGGGGAAGGAATTTTCCCCCCTTATCCTCTTCCAGCCAACTCCTGCTGCCGTCCTAATGAATCTCATCACATGGCCTGCGTTTCCCCACTACTGCTTTGTTTGTTGACCTTTATAAGACGCCATTACTCATTATCTTCAAGGATTGTGCAGTTTTGCCCCATGACACAAGCCCTTCAACGGCAGTCTGGGCCAACAATAAATGTACATCTATGTCTGATCAAATCCTTCTTGTCAGTGTAACAAGTCCTTAACAATGAGGCGTGCTCTTCACCATGTCTCCCTCCTTCCTCTATCTGTTCTCTCCTCTCACCCAGAAACACAATGTCCCGCAGCATTACTGTTATTGACAGTAAAACTAATTGGTGCATGGCCATGAAAGTTCCCCTGGGACATTTTAAAGTGGACGGCA